CCTTCCATTTCTCAGTTTGACGACTGTGTACGTGGATTTATCATAAAATCTTTGAAAGTACTCGATGTTCCGAGATTATTAATTTTTGTTGTTTGCTGAAATATTTTATTTTCGAACTTATTTTCTCTGTGTTCTGTTTTTGATACATTGCTTTGTTCAGTCTGTTTGAAAGGCTCCGTGGAATTGATCCGCTCTAACAAATCCATTATATTTCTATACTTTCTTTTTAAGTTTTTGACTCATGTTCTTGAATTTTTGGTATAAAATATTTAGAGTAAGACATCAGTGTCAATAACACCATTATTTATAATAATATATCTAAATGGAATCAACCCACAATATATAATATTTAAAATCACCACTTGACTAAGAAGAAATCATATAATGTTAAAATAATCAACAACAAAAAATCTCTAGAACAAAATTCGATTTTAATAACACAAAGCACATAACCGCATATCAACAACGACTATATCAGTCCATATTTACCGAAGCTAAACTTCTGTTTTTAATAAATCGATCTCTGTATTTACACAGCAAACGAATTCCAATTAAAAAGTCTTCCAAACGGATAATCTAATGTTTCTTCGTATTTGTTACCTTTGGATTAAGTTTGTAAACAACTTTTTCTATAAAGTTAATAATTAGAAATATTTGGTTTACGAGGATGAGATGAGAAACATTTAATCTAAGAGCATCTTCAACCCCACTCCATAATTTACTGTAAAATGAAGTGGGAAATGGAGTAATGAAGAAACAAAAATTTCATTACTCCATATTTGGAGTAATCACTTTCTTGTTTCTTCATCACTCCATTTCCCACTCCATTTTGCAGTAAATTATGGAGTGGGGTTGGAGATGCTCTTAATGGAGTATACACTAGTTAAGTTCTTAATAACTATTTAATTAATAAAATTAAGTAAAATAGTGTAAAAGCACTAAAAAACATTTCTTATGACAATTCTTACACATCTCTTAATTAAAAGTTGTTTTTTTTCTTTCTAATTTTTAATTATATTAAGATACTTTTTTAAAAGACATGAAGAGGCATTAGACTGGCCCCTTTTAAAATACATGCACGTGGTCGTATGGCAGCTTTCCTAGCTGCAATTCACCGCCTAGCCCTAAACGAAAACCAAGAGGCATTAGACTGGCCCCTTTTACATCACAGATCTTCTTGCTTCGTTTTTGGATTTTCTAAAAGTAGAAGGTACTGGAAGCTACCTTACTTCATTCTCAATTTTATTAAATATTGGAATTCTAAATAGAAACTACTGGAAGCTACATTTAATTCTTCACCCTCATTCTTACTTCATTCTCATTTTCATTAGATAGATATTTATCGTTTTAGAACAACCTGAAAACGTTAGTGAACCAAATTATTTATGTCAAATCACATCAAATATAAGTGTCATTTTGAAACACTTGAACACTCATATTTTGCCGCCGTTCTAAGTACTGTCCACTACTTTGCATTTTTAGAACATGTTTTTTTTTTTTTTTGTCATGTTCTCTAAAACTGGAGGTAAGTATACAGTTTTGATAAGTTACAAAAAAAAAACAGTATACAGTTTTGATTAATGATCCTTAACCGACTTTCTTGTTTGCATGAGCCAGTCTCTTGAAAGGACAGACTTGGATCGAAGATGTACGGCGCCGGCTTACAAATACTACGCTGTTTCACTCTCTTAGGTTAAGATATTTTATAGGCCGAGAATAAAAAACTAACATTTTTGTACTTTATTGACACTACATAGTTTAAAATATTCATTATTATCTGTGACCACCGAAGTTTATGGATCTAGACTACATAGTTTCACTCTCTTAGGCTAAAATATTCATGATACTACTTTGTTAGTCTTCCTATTTATGGCCAACTTTGTAGTAATAATTACCTCACATATAATTTGCTAACACATAATTGTATAGAAAATTTATGTGAGGATGCTTTTGACATGTTCTTTATTTATATATACAAAGTATACGTTACCCTATAAATTAAACGTTAGACAAAGAGATTTTCTAACCATCACATTGAATAACTAGTGTTATATTAAATTTAATAAAATTATCTGCAAAAAGCAAAAGCCATTTATTATCACATAACAAATAGTTATAGTCAGTAGTCACTACAAGAAATCATACCTTTTAGAAGGACTATATTCCCTGTTAATTCTTCGTAATAGTAGAGTTACGACAAATTAACAAAAAAAATACAATCTGTTGTAAAATGACCATAATGGATATTTCGATGCAAAGATTTTGTAGTCTTTACGGGGAGATGTGGTTTTTGTTGCAACAATAGATAGTTATCCAAATTTCTAACGGTTTTGAGATATATGTACTGTCGATAAAAAAATTAAAGATAATATAATACAGTAGAACCTCTATAAATTAATACTCGATAAATTAATAATCTCTATAAATTAATAAATTTCATCGGTCCCAACTTGGGCCGGTGTAAAATATGACACAAATCGATAAAATAATAAGATAATAATATTTTTAAAACTTCCATGTAAATATATAGTCCCACTAAAATCATAAATTAATAATCTAGCTATATATAATTTTATATAAGTACAATCTAACATTATATTGTTGGTTTTATATTTACTATAAAAATACTCTTATTTTTTAAACATTTCAGTATATTTTGATAATATTTAGTTAGGGATTTTATATTTACTATAAAAATACTTTTATTTTTTAAACATTTTAATATATTTTGATATATTTAGTTAAATTACATCGAAAACCATGTAACAATTCTATGAAACATAAAAATATACACCAAATAAGATAATAAAACAATATAAAACTCAATTTTTTTAAAATTTAAATAATGTACATATGCTAAAATCAATTTTTTTTATTTTATAAATAAAAATAGAAAAAAATCTAAATAAGGAAACTTTCGTAAATTAATATCTCTATAAATTAATAAAATTGCAAAGTCCCAACATTATTAATTTATAGAGGTTTTACTGTATTAGTATATTTGGGAAAATTTAAGATAAAAAAATAAGTATTTCATCTAACATCGCTATAAGTTTTGAATGTAAGTACAAAACAACAACAACGGGGAGCACCTTCTTATGGAGAGTTCAACATCACCTTCTCACTCTCTAAAACATGGGATCAACTAAAAAAAAAAGAAGAAAAACAGAGCGATAGAAAAAATATTGTTTGGTTTTCACAAGGTGTGCGTTTTTTCTTTAATCTCTTGGCTGGCTTTACATAATCGATTGCCAAGAAGAGACATGCTGAGGCAATGGAAAGCAGAGCAATCATGTATTTAAGGGACGGAGAAATGAAACAAGCGACCCTATTTTTTTTGTCTGGCTTATAATGGGAGAAGAATTCTTGAATCAAGAACAACACCAGACTGGGGCAATACGATACGACACCCCCCTTGATTTTACTTGCTTGGGTTAGCTGTTCAAGTCATCATCTACCATTTGTAGCGTGAAATAAACTCTCGACGACACCACAAAGGATGGAAAACCACTACTCAGGTCACTCAGGTCGTTGAAACGATCATGAAAAATCATATTATGTCCCTCAAGTACACGACTACTCATAAAAATATGAAGGGCTGTTAGACCACCTCCATTGGGAGTTCCTTCCCTTGGAATTTTTAAAATATGTATTATGTATGTATATATATATGTATGTATATATTATATAAGTATAAGTATTTGTGGGGTTCATAACTTTTGTGAAACCCCATAGACAAAGGTTCTACATAATACATATTTTAGGAACTCCAAGGGAAAGAATCCCCAATGGAGATGCTCTATAAGGCGTTAGTTTGAGCTCAACACCAAATAGTGCTATATTATTTCATTATTTTCTTCTATCTTACAATAAGACCCCACAATTAAATGTAAATGACCATGTTTCTAAGATTTCAATCTATTTGATATTTAATCAGAAATGATAATTTTTGATACAGTAAAATAAGTTTTGATTAAATTTTAATCATGAAGAATCCATCCAGGGTAGCTTTTAGCATATCTTTGTCCACAGTGTATATCTGATGAAAGTGTTTGATACCTCTTACTTTGCAGCTTTGATAGTGACAAAGTTTCGGAGATGTATCGAGCTGATATTAGTACACTGTTGTAGCTCCGACAATTTTGCTGTTAGGAGCAAGGTCTGAATCAATCTAGGAAACGCGGAAGTGGCATCCGCTTTTGAAACTCATCAAAACTTGTTGCTGTCAAGAGAGACGCTACATGCAGTTTTAACCTTTGTCAAGAGAAGAAATATTCTCGTGGGCTCTTTTTTTTATGGGGATAAAGAGTTTGTTAACATCGTGTTATTGTAGAGAACCGCGGGTTTGTTTTCATGTGTTGTTTCACGTTAGCTAATGAAGACATTAGACATCCCAATGCACATGGAGCAAATCATGGTTCTGGCTGAATCATCCAGATTTTGGGTTAGTGAAGCCATTGTTGTTTATTGATAAGACATTCGTTTGGAACATAGGGAAGATGTAACTTCATCGTTTTATCATTTTTGTCCGCTCAAGTCCTTTGTATCATTTTGATGCACGGGGCAAAGAGGCAGCAACATTCAGCTCCATAGTTTGTTAACCAACCCTGTTAGTTTACAAAGGAAATTGTCAACATTTTCTTCAAAATAATTGTTTTTTTTTAATGAATGTAAAATTATTATTCAATCAAAACTGTACTACAATTAATGCATCTGTTTTCTTGGACTACAAAGAAACAAAGAATTAGAGACTATAGGAAACTTCAAAATAAATTGTTATTGTATGAATATAATGTTAACATTTATGGTGTTAAAAAGAATGTTAGAGAATTATATTTGAGAGAGTATCCAAAGCATATCCTCACATGAATAAATCACCTACACTCATAAGTCATATCAGACTATTTTAATGAGAGTCGATATACACCAACCCATTAAGTGAAAAAGAAAAACATTTTGGGGTTTGTTTTGCAATTTTCATCACTTAAGGGTTCAATTGACATTTTTTCACTTGTCTCTTTCTTTGCTGTATAACCCTAAAACGAGAAAAAGGAAGAAAGACATTTGTTTCTGCAGGAGTGGGAAGAGCTAAAGATCTACAGACATGGCGGACGAAGCAACCAGAACTGTAAGCTCTCTCTCTCTCTCAAACGATCTAATAGGTCAGCTAAGGCTCCGAGTGGGACTCTAATGATTTTTTTTTTGTTTAAAGGCATTTCTAGAGATTCAAGCAAACATGATCGATCTCACTGGGAAGCTGAAGCAGGTACAATTAATCTTCTTTTTTTGTTGTTGTTCGTTTAAGACAATGTACAAAACTGGATTCTAACTATAGGACCACCAATTTTAAAAGTGCTTTATAACAAACAGGACTCAGTGTTAGATTTGCTGTTATAACTTGTGGTCTTAAATAATCATATGATTTCAGTGTTAGAAGCTTAGTACTGGATATAGCAAAGAGGGCAAACATTTATTATACTTGTAATTTGGTTTCCTAAGTTCTTGTCATATGGTAATCAGAACTGATATAAATATGTGTGTGTGAATGTGGTATACTATGCATTTTTTTAGGTGCAGACTCAGATGCGCAACAAAGAAGGAGATAGGAAACGTGCTTACTTAACCTTGGAGGAGTTACGGCCATTGCCTGATAATACAAACACCTACAAGTCTATTGGTAAATTTGATCCCCCCCCCCCCACCTTTCTCTGGTTTCATAAGGACAAGTAGCTTTTCTTTTTGTTTATCAAGTCTAACTTCTTGTGTTCTGTTTTTGTTTTTTTTTTCCAGGAAGAACGTGAGTGGTTAGGTTAACTTATTACTCCGGCAATTAGGAGAAGAATTTTCCAAAGGCTGATTGATTCATTATGTGGTTGGACAGGTTTCTTTTAGAGCCCAAGAGTGTACTAGAGGCTGAACAAGAGCAGAAGTTCAAGGATAGTGAGGCTACTATTGCTTCTCTTGAGGTAACTTCCCTTCCTCTTCCCGGATAGAAGAAATCTTCAGTTTTCTGAGGATCTAAAGATCTGATAATTTATTATAGTAGGAGAAAACATTGAAATGATGGCTGTGCATAACATATTTGCATTGGATGATTTTGATGTCAGACATCGAAGGAGAACTTGGAGAAGAAGATTGCAGAGGTTGAGAACAACTTGAGGGAGCTTTTGCAGCAAGAACCTGGCATTGCTCGACAGATTATGTCCATGTCTATGTAACTTCTCTTTTTGTTGTTGTATGTTTTCCCCAACCCTTGAACAAATGGTACACACAAATCTGAGTTTGGTTCTGTTTTTATCAGAGCGATGGATCTATTTGAAGTATTTTGGCCTTCAAGTCTTTTGTTATCAGATCCGAACTATCCAAAACTCTTTCATAATTGACTTTGCAAATAAACTCAGGTGTGCATATGCCAGGTTGAAACCAATAATACTTTCGTATACTAATCTTATGGTTAGAAATATGTATATTACTTTCATGATTCAATTAATAGAATGATTAGCATACTTCTTCATCTATGAATTTGCATGACTGTTTAGTTCATGTTCACTTTGTTACTGCTGGATATAATCCGTGTCTGAGTTTGACTGTTTCTTGAATTCAAATACAGCAATTGTAATAATTACTCATTTAATGTTTATCCAAATCAAAAGGCATTTGGACCAATAAATAGCCAAAGACATACACACATACCACAAACCCCAACAAACGTATTCATTCATGTACACACTGATTCAGCATTATCTTTCAAAGAAATCATGGATCAGAACTTCTGGGCATCTATCTAAGTACTCACCCTCTCGGCTTCAACAGAACTTAAGATTGATTGACGTAAAGAACGGGTACAAGTCCAGCCATCTTCCCATCTCTGCCAGGCCGCTTCTTCTTTACCTGTCAGTTTATAAGTTGACCGACCCAGTTAGGCTTAGTAAAAGTTATACGTCTCACAGAGACTCATGGGTTTGTCATTTGAAACTTACGTAAAACCAGCCATCAACTTCATATTCTATCTCCAATTCCTCTTCTGCCGTCAAGTTTAGCTGTAACACAAACCCAATTGTGTTTTTGAATCATAACGGAGTTTTCCATGAACAAGATTACCGTATAGAGAATAAGAAATGGATAACATTAAAGAAGACCAATGAAAGAAGCTTTGACTGAATCATATCCATATTCTTAATTTGTTTGATTGCTCTTTTTCAGAACATACCAAAAGGAAGAAAAAGCAAAAGTTTACCTCATCATCTCCTCCTGCGGTGAAGTCATAGAGCGCTGTTCCAAATCTTGTACCAGTAGATTTCCTAGGTTCGTCATCATCTGATTCGTAACTTCTAGAACCAGACCCTGCCATAGGGTTCTCAAACGAATCACGACTTTGTGACTCCGAATATGAGTAAGGCGGAGGAGGCTCTTCTCTAATCTGAAAAAAAAGAAGAGAAGAAGGAATTATCAGCTAATGTTGTCCCCATGTACATACATACAAGCACAGAAAAATAATATCAGCTTACTGGGGAACCATAGCCTTCATATGTGGACTGATACTTGCTTCCACTCGATTTTCCCTATTTGAGTTTGCATTTTCATATGGTTAAAATTAGCTGAAAGCTGGCTTGCATCCCATACAGGCAAAGATCATTCAAAAGTTCTTATGATTATTATTCATATATAGTTCAAGCTTCTTTATGCTAAACCTACATGCCTTTTACCTTTTAAAATTGTCTTTTTGTACAGTTTTCATTGTAACTCTTTTGGTCTCAGTTTTCATTGTAACCCAGACTTAGGAGCTTAAAGACATAATAATCCATCTGAATAATGATATTCTAACAGTATAACATTGTATAACTGCATGAAACTCTATGGCCGGTAATTTTCACAAATAGCATAGGTAAACAAGGAAGAGTTTGGGTGTAGCCTACCGTTGCTTGTGAGGAAGGCTTTGAACTGAACAATGATGGGTAATTCATTCCACCAAAATGAGAGGATATGGAGCTTTCCACTGACCCAGCAGAATCTGGAGACGATGAACCTGATCTCACATCATCTTCCTGTAAATGCAAATGAAAGTCATTTATTAGCATCCCCAAAACTAAGAAACAATTTAGAAACCCCTAAAGATGAATAAAGCTAGTTTATACCTCCTGGTCGTTAGTTTCTAAAAGAGTCTTTGCCCACATGTCATCATACCCAACTGAAGGTCTGGAGAAGACATTCTCCTCATCAACGTCTGGTGCATCTGTTCCACCTCCAGCAATGAAATCATTGACCTGACAAGGGTTATATATGTCCGAGATTCATTTGGAGACATAGAAAACTAGGTACCATCTATAATGTAATCATGTACGAATAAATACTGAGATAAAGATGGCAACTGACCCTGCTCATAGCTGGGGCGTTGTTTCCGAGTAGACCATCATCACCAAGGTTTGCAGCCCAAGCATTCACCAAATCATCATCCAGACCACTGGCGTTTGAAGCAGCAGGGGCAGGCTGAGTGGACTCATATATTAAGTCTGAAATACCAGTAGCAATAACAGTTGGATCGGTTGTACCAGAAGATGCTGTGATATTGTGCTTTGTGCGGTATGTGTCAATGAGCTTTGCACTTCATAGGTTAGGTTGAAAAAAAAAAACAAAAGAACATATCAGTATCTTCATACAAAATGGCAATAGAGACAGAAAGGCACCTAATCACACAGAGAAACACGGGAAAAGGGGACACAAGCATGTAATGCATACAAGAAAGGTCCACATCAAGATCACCAAACATGAAATTTAAGAATCTGATTTTCTGTTAATTAATAGAGTATATACTTTGACATGGTTCTTGAATTTTGTCATAATCTGTGAAAATTGATGCTTCCTTCTTCTTTTATGTCAGGATTGAGGCTATGATAAACTAGATATGCATATAACATAAAAATGCTAACGCAAGAAGTCTCTCAGAAGTATCCTAAGTAAGTATGATGCACTAGAATGAGTTGACCGACACTGATTAATTAAATGGGTTCAGAATTCAGAATGTACCTTATCGGACCCAGGGGCAAATACTTGGCTCTTGGAATATAGCAAAACAAGGAAACAAAATCTAGCAGCCTCTCGTGTGTTTCGTAGAGTTTTTTCAACTCCTCGTCCTTCCATTCTTTGTTTGCATTATCGTGATGGCGTATTTCCCTTGTCAAGAAAAAATCACATGTCAACAATAAAATCATATACAGGTAACATACATGCATGAATTACAGGGGAAAATGGTTCAGATTTCTTCCTTACTTGATTAATTCGTCTTGTCCTAGATACATTTCATCCAGAACTTTTAACATCGGAGTTATTAAGACTCCAAGTCCTGTACCACTAACTCCTTGGTCTTCTCCATTACTAAGGTGCATTTCAGAAAGTTGAGACTGTACACCACCCTCAGCCAAAGTGTACAAAAACTCGTATATCTGCAGCCTGAAAGGTTCACCCGATCTAATGGCTATCGTAGTAAGAGCTTGAATTGCAACAATTCGGACCTGTTTATCCACAGAACATAAACACTTAGGCAGGAAATCCTACAAGTAATACTCATATAGTTTAACAAAAATATAATTGTATACCTCCCAGCTACCACTAAAGGCGCACCTCTGGAGGCGAGTTAACGCACCAGCTAGAGTAGGATTGCGAGAACTGGCAGCAGCAACCATTTTATCTGCATCCAACATCATAAGTGCAGTGCCTGGTGGAGTTGCCGATTCCCATGCATATTCTGAAGCGGCGTAATTTGCATTTTCTCCAAGAAACCATACCTGCCACAGTATTCATTCTAGGTTAGTCTGTTGAAAACGTTACCAAATGGATGTAAACATTTCTTAGGAATGCTTACAGCGGCTTGCACCAATTTCTGCAGCGCCAGAGCCGACTTTGGATCTGACGCAGAGACCCTATCAATTGATGTCAGTCCTGACATGGATCCTGGCTGTGGAGGTGGTAGGTCGAGTACTATCGTCACTGCTTCCAGAGCTGTGTGTTTCCCATCAGGACCAGCTCCAACAAGACATGTCTAGAAGTTGATCAATTAGTAAATCATGTAAAAATAAACTACTCAAGATATAGAAAAATTCAGCATAACATCCCACAATAATTTGAGTGTTCGTTATACATACAATGACGATTTTTACCCAAATCTATCTAGCTACCAAATATTAACAAGAAGCATACAAACTTCAAGATCTCAAATTGTCTAACACACTGAAATTTCGAAACAGGAAGATTATAATATATAACAAACATACTAAGCAAATTATAGTAACTTTAAAATTACATTACGAGAAGAGTATACCTTCCAGAGTAGTTGTAAGACATCAGCGTCAATTTTCCCTGGAACTTTGGTAGCAAAAATACGGGCAATTTCGAGAAGAATAACAGCCATATCTGGAGTTGCCTGTGAAACACAAATAGATAAAGTTAACTAAAGAAAAGATAATACTTCACATCAGCGGGTTCCAGGTTTTTTCTTCAACAGAGGATAACCATTTCAAGTCTCCATTGCAAAAGAAGAAGATATCGTACTTACCTTAAAACGAGCATGCAAAGTAAGCAAAACATCATTAACTAGAGCTGCAGGCCAGGCAGGATCGGAAAGCTCTGAGGCAATGATTGATTTCAATTCATCCAACGATTCATGCGGACTTTGCATCCATATCAATGCTTTGACAACCATTCCCCGGACATACACGCACTCGCATGCTACTGTTGTTCGAACCACCTCCATTAATGAAGCCAGTAAACTTGCGATTGTCTCATTGCGACCAGGCCCTGCGGATATAGATGATGTTCTCCGTATTCCTGCAATAGTCCAACAATTAAAATGATTAAAATAAGGGTATATAACAACAGAGAGGATTAAAGGTAAATACAAAGTGATATAGAACGTGTTACAATCTTCAGGGCTTTATAGTTCCAGTTCTACCAACTATAAAAATAGTTTTCCTTAATTGTGTTTGTAACAAAAACATGAATTTTTACTTCATGTGAATTCTGTTTTTAAGAAATATTGATAATGTACCTTCTGGGTGAGAGCTGTCATTTGTTTCAGCATCATCCAGAGCGTCAGAAAATGCATTTACATGAACTGATTCGTCAATGTCCTCTAATCCCATCGCAAACGCTGCAGCCCTGCTCTTTCCCATTTCTTGCACAACCCTTGCTGCTGCATGAAGTACTGGTCTTGAGAAACTGCGAAATGAGCTCTCTAACCTGAAAGGACGGGATCAATTAGTGAAATTCTTTGACAGGAAACACAATCATTACAATTTAAAGCAACAGTTTAGTGAAGAAAGAGAATCCATATGATCTACAGTTCTAAACACACTCTTCCATCATGCTAGGCTACCTTCTCATTACAAGCTTTATAAGGGGCTGTGGACGCTTAGTTTTATTAGATTTATCCTTGGATGTCGCTTCAGGCAGCTTCATGATCTCCCTGGTCAAGCGGTACCATCCATTAGCACGCTCAT